AGCGTAATAATTCTAATTTTATTATATATTGAGGAAATGGTATATGTTCCTTTGTCAACCATTCTTTAATTTTATCAACAGTCCAAGAATTCGTTGGACTTTTGTTTAATACTTAAGAATGGTAAGGTGCATTGTCTAAAATAATTACGCTGGGCTCACTTAAACCTGGGAAAAGTTTTTCATGCAACCATTTTACAAACATTTCTGTGTTCATATTATCGTGATAGTTACTGGGTTTTGATTTAGATGAAAATATTAAATCAGCACCTTCTATAAAACCCGATTTCCCTCCTGCATGTAAAATTATGTGTCGCTTCCCTTCTGCATCGGTATGTTTGATGGACTTTACGTTATCATCTTGCCATATTCTCTTGGTTGCACCCCTAGAAAATATCCATGTTTCGTCTAAATTATAAAATTCGCCCCTTCTTCTTTAAATTTAGAATATTTTCTTAGAAAGTTAATTCTCTTGTGCACGACAGAACTTCTTTCACAAAGGGCCTTTCTGTTATCCTCCTATTGAAATTTGAAACCCAAGTTATGTATCACTTGCCATAGACTTGTTCTGCCAATGTCGTCAAATTTTCTATCTATTAATTCCGAAAGAATTGTATTTAAGGTCACATGTTCCTTGTTGGCCCTCATTCGATAAATGGTATCACGAATTTTAAATTTCTTTCCATCTGGAATATCTTTCGTTTTCAATGATAGGCGAGTTTTGCGGTGATCTTCTTTCGGCAGTTCACTATTGTGATTTTGTAATACTCCTCTTAATTTGGTTTCACTAATTCAGATCATCGCATACGCGTTGTTGTACAGACATTGCCGATTTTAAAGGACCGCCATTTTCTTGTTCATCCGTAAAATACTTATGTACACTACAAATTAGACTATCTACATCTAACACACGTCTAGGCATTTTTAAAATTTTCACTAAATTTCCAATATACATACAATGTCAACACTTGCAAAGAATCAATTCAACTGCAATATTTGTAACAAATTTAGTACCTACCCTAATGTTATTTTAATTTAAATCTGACCATTAGGGCAATTTTACCTAATTTCTTGGGAAGAGGCTTATTGGAACTGGTTGTCAATGACTAATTTGCATAATTTTGTTAATCCGAAACCCGCGTAAGTATAGCGAACAGACTGTATATTACCGTTTAACGTTATAAGTTCATACACCCGTGCTATTGTACGCGGATTTCGTTTTCGTCTTTCTTATTTCGGAGCGAATTCGTCTAAATTTTACTTCTATCGTGTGTTCGATAACAGACAGTCTTTTTTATATTATTTTTTGAAAAAACCCTCCCCGGAAAAGTTACACCCCTTCGAAAATTAAAAAAAATAATGGTTTTTCTTTTTTATTTTTCCTGTATATCAAGCTAAAGACACGAAACTTGGTAAACATTATCTGTCAATAAAAGTACACTTTTTGAAATTTTTTCAACCCTGAAGTATGCTTAGAAAGGGTTAAAATAATCAACCCCTAAGATATTTTTTCTTACAACTTTTTTTTAGATGAAAATTTTTTCTTTAAAAAAGTATGACAGAAAAGCCCAATTCATTGACTAACTTTTTTAACTCTACAAGTTTTTTCTAAAACTTGAGCATTTACGAGAAAAAAAATCTAATGCAATGCATTTTCAAAAAGATGAGCTAACGCGAGTGTATTTTGCGTCAAGTCTAAACTCAAACAAATAATGATTGAGAGTGAACCGTGTTGTCATATCTCAATTTTACCTTACTAGTTTTTAGCAGAATCAAAATAGAGTAAGTAGTAGAGTTGTAAGTTGTGGCAAATTATAGATAATATACAATCATATTACTAATAAAAGATATTAATTATAACAAAAATCAGTAATGAGTAATACTTATACATTTCTTGATCATTTAAAATTAATTATTTTATGGATTGTTCAGTATTTGTTACAACTAATGGCATCGGTGTACGGAGCGATATTTGTGTCTTCGTCTGTTACGCGTAAAATCCATCTCGTCGATGACGTTCTCAGTAGTGTATTTCTAACCACGAGCGTGTAACATCGGGTTTTGAATTATACGATGTGAATTGTAAGTTTTACAGTTAAGTTAGTAAGTAATCGACGTGTTTTAAGAACAATTGGTGAAAATATTAGTGCTAATAAGTGTTTAAACATTAAATAATAATATTTCTACACCGTTCTAAAACTATGCAAAAAATGGAAGACATTGAAGGGCCTTCAACGTCGAAAAAGGTAAAACGGTCGAAGTCTCGGTCGCTAAGTGAAAAACAAATTGTACTTCGAGTATTTCACTGTCTTGAAAGATCATCAGCGACCAAAAGATAACTTAGTGCATATGTGCTGTAATTCTACGGATGTACCTCCAAATAACCAACCGGGCGTTCCAACATCATTAACTTCCACAATTACAAAAGATAAATTAGTTGATATGTGCTCTGATTATACGGGTGTACCAAAATCATCAGTTTACAAAATACTAAGAAAAAACAAAATTCATGGGGAAGTACAAACGCCAAAAACTAGTAGCGGAAGAAAAAAAATCACAGTTGATGAAGAAGCAAAAAACAGTATACGCACAACTATTCACAGTTTCTTTTTCAGAAATGAGCTGCCCACTTTGCAGAAAGTTCTGGAGGCAGTTAGCGATCATGAATTGGTCCCACAAATGAGTAAAGAAACTTTGAAGAAATTGTATGAATATTTTAAATAATTGTACCCTCTCAAAAATAATAAGCACGCCTCCGATTTGGTCGTATTTCTACCTGCTTTCACTCTCAATCATTATTTGTTTGAGTTTATAGTGGCCTGTGCTTTGCATAAAAACATTAATACTGATACCAGGATTGTGTAGTGTCATTTTCTGTTACCCATCTTATTGTTTCACAAGTTTTATGATTGTGTATTGTAGGAAATATTAGTTGATTGAAAATATGAATGCATATTCGAATTTGAAAATGGCAGATTGCATTTTACATACGGTCGTGCTAACGGTAATTCATTGGAAGCGCAAAGACTTTATGCTGAACAGTACCCACAGCGTAGACTACCCCATCATACTACGGTCACAACTATTCACCGACGCTTGCGGGAACGTGGTAATTTTGAAAAAAGAAGTTATGATTCTGGTCGTACTAGAGAAGTTAGAACTGCAGCTGTAGAAGAAGCCGTACTTAATTCAATTGAAGAATTCCCAGAAACTAGTACCAGGAGAATAGCTCGTGTCCTACATGTAAGTCATTCCGTTGTTTTTAGAACAAATGTTGTATCCCTATCATCTTCAACGGATGCAGGCGTTAATGATTCGAGATTTTTTACCCCGTGTAATTTTTTGTCAGTGGCTTATTAATATGATTGGCCAAGCACCACAGTTCTTAGGTAATATTTTATTTACTGACGAGGCGAGTTTCTCAAGAGACTGTATTAGAAATTTTCACAACAATCACCTTTGGGCTGACGAAAATCCTCATGGCTTTTTTGAAGGAAATCATCAGTATCAATTTTCATTAAACGTGTGGCTCGGAATTATTGATAATCATTTAATTGGTCCCCATTTTCTTCCGCTATGATTAAATGGTGAAGCATATTGTCATCTCCTTGAAGAATTACCTGTTCTTCTTGAAGAGGTTCTCATTCAAATTAGGCAACATTTATGGTTTATGCACGATGGTGCACCAGCTCATTTTAGTATACGTGCAAGAACTCACCTGCATGAGGTGTATGTCAATCAATGGATAGGTCGAGGAGGACCTGTAAACTGGCCAGCCCGCTCCCCTGACCTTAATCCTTTGGATTTTTGCATATGGGGATATCTGAAATCTTTGATATACACAAACCCAGTTGAAAATATCGATGATCTGCGAAACCGCATTGTAGCAGGGTGTGAAACTATAAGTAATTCTCCAGGAATATTTCATCGTATACGCAATTCTATGAGGAAAAGGGTAGATGCTTGTATTGAAGCTGAAGGCGGTCATTTTCAACATTTATTATAATTGTATTGTCGATATTCGACAGGTTTTTGTTCATTGTTTGTTCACTTTTGTTTTTAGTTGTAGAAGTCTTGAGAATCATAATTTGGTTGGCTGTTGTTTAATAAAATGCTATTTTACATGAGCTTATTTATTTTTTCTCATAAATGCTTAAGTTTTCGAAAAAAAACTTGTAGAAATAAAAAAGTTAGTCAATGAATTGGGCTTTTCAGTCATACTTTTTTAATGAAAAAATTTTCATCTAAAAAAAAGTTGTAAGAAAAAATATCTTAGGGGTTGATTATTTCAACCCCTTCTAAGCATACTTCAGGGTTGAAAAAATTTCAAAAAGTGTACTTTTATTGACAGATAATGTTTACCAAGTTTCGTGTCTTTAGCTTGATATACAGGGAAAATAAAAAAGAAAAACCATTTTTTTTTTAATTTTCGAAGGGGTGTAACTTTTCCGGGGAGGGTTTTTTCAAAAAATTTTATACTAAACACTCACATTAATTTTCATCACAGAATCACCCCTTTAATTTTTTCGGTGTTATTTAGATACTATATTACTAAATTTTATAGTGAAGTCTTTATATTTTTATGTTTCTATATTCAAATAAGGTACCTAAAATTTTTGTGTTGTAATTTACTTCCGAGACAAATAATGAAATCTTAAGAATGATATAATATAGTGTTAAGTAACATTGTGTGTTTTAAACATTTTTCCATAATTTTTATAATGAAAGAAAATCTTCTTTCTATTAATATAGCAACTATGTTAGATATTCCTGAAATTTTCCTACTAATATTTTGGTAAAGTAGTATAGTAGATGTGTTCAAATATTTGATTATTTTTTAGGGTGTTGTGTATTTTTTGAAGATCAATAAAATATTGTATAGTATATTTTTTACGAAAATATAATTTCAAAATAAAAAAGAACATCCTACCTGCTCATTGAATAATATACTATTATCCCATGAATAGTTTCTATTGTGTATTATAACCATTTTTAATTTTTAGTGTGAAGCTTTATATTTGTATGGTTTAATGTTACTAATTGTCGATGCGTTTATAGATGGAGCTATCAGAGAAAGATTATTAGTTTCATATTATAGATATGCACCTGAAAGACAAGAAACTAAAAGTAGCATCGATGAAGTTTGTAAATTATTACGTGATACTGGCTATAATGCCTCCAAGAAACCTGTTACCTATCCTGAGGATTACTTCAAGTAATACATAAAGTATATAATTTATATCTTAAAAATTATATTATATTAAATTTTAGGAGAGTCAATCTTAAACCAATCTATGTAGACTATGTAATTGGTCGTTTAAGATCTGATGATATTTATGGCCAAGTTTCAGTGTATTCACTTCCAAAACACAGAAGTACAGCACTAGCAAATCAGGCAGCAATGTTATACGTTTGTTTGTTTTTTTCTACAGATATTCTCCATTCTCAGACAGCAGTTATGAGAGAAATTGTAGATAAATACTTTCCGGACAATTGGGTCATATCTTTGTATATGGGACACACGGTTAATTTGGTAGAGACATGGGATTCTTTTAAAGCTGCAAAGTCTGCATTAAATAATACACTAGAGATTGTTAATGTTAAGAGGTCAGTTTAATTATTTTTTTTTTTTTTAACTTTTTTCACCCTTCCAGGATCTCAACACCATTTGGGAGTCCTACTCATACACACCACATATTTACAATTTATTTTCTGCTTTTTATATTTTAGTTATGCTAATTCGTATGGTACAAGTGTATCTAATCTTCTCAAATTAACAAACTCGTTATTGAAGGAAGGCAACATAACTAACGAAAATCTGTTAAAAGACATAAATAATATTATAACTACAATCAGGGAGTGCAATGTAACAGTACGTTGGTTAATGTTGCATACAGTCCTCAAACCTGGTCAAGTTGATAAGGTAAAAAGATTGAAACAACTTCGGGAGAATGTGATATCCGAAGCTAAGTGTGATCCAGGATTGTTGTTTAAATTACTGTTAAATACCGCCCAGTTGGAATTGATCGTTAGAGATTTGTATAAAGAGCTATTACAAAATAAAGAAATTCAATGGGAAGAGTTGAAAAGTGAGAGTAATAGTAGATTGTTGGAGTTGTCTGAAGTATTTGGTGGTTCAAAACCGTTGACTCGGATACAGAAAAATGAAAATTTGCAACTGTGGTTTGTTGAGATTTCCAAACAAATACAGTCGCTGATTCAAGTAAGTGGATGTTTTTATTTTTTAAATCCTAAAAATTAGTTATAAATAATAGATTTATTGCCCAACAGGTATTTATATTTTTTAAAAATTAAAAATTATACAAGTTGCAGTATAGTTGTATAATTACTACACTATATAAAAGTTTATATACGTTGACAACTTAAAGAACAATAACAAAATATAACGAAAAAGAAAACAGTTTATGTAAAAAAATTAAATAAGTCAGAAGTAGTAATGATTGAGGCGGCAGTCTAAAACGGGCCTGTTCAGAGATCCCAGCCGTTACATATCTAAGACACGAACCGACAGAAAATCATAAAATATTTCGCTCAAAACTATTTTCTTTAAATTCGCTCGCTAGGCGATGGTCAGGTTAAAGCATTGAATGATAAAAACACATAAACAGTGATGCCAGTTCAAGTTCTGATATATTTGTATTTTTTGTTGTTGAAATATAAATAGGTATAGTTGCCACAAAATTATTTAAAAAAAATGTTAATAATATTTCAAAAATACGGATGAAGCATTCCAAAACCGAACACATACAATTTTAAAAACAATAAATAAGAGGATGTGTGTTTGTGATTAGATTTAGGTTTCCCTTGGCTACGGATACTAAGTCCATTCGCCAGTAAATAAGAGGATTGATTTGAGGACATTTTTTGTATAATTTTTTATTGTAAACCGTAAGTTTTATCATTAGAAGTGACCATAGCGTTATGCAGTGGCTGATGAATTAAAAAAGAAAACCTGAAGAACAAGTTGCTAGATAGAGAAAAACTGCAACAATATAACTTCGAGATAGTTCATCGAAGACGCCTTCTCCATAGCAATGCAGACATTCTTTCCAGGCGACAATGCCGGTACTGTAAAAGGCTCGAAGAACCAGAGGAGCCGATTGAAGAAGTTAGTCTTAAGGAAATCACTATCAAGCCAGAGGATGACGAAGGCGAAATTACTCTTGAAAGCCTAAGAAAGACTCAAAAAAATGACAGTGACTTGAAGGTTGTCAGAGAATGGCTCAAATATAGTAGAACTATTAAAGGGTACTTTACTCCCTGTATCGTCACAATGACCTGTTGCACCGCAAGTGGGGAGCCCCGATGGAGTACATGTAGTCCGCCAAATGGTACTGCCGAAATAGCATGTCAGAAGTGTGTTGAAGGAACTTCATAGCAGAGGATGTTTTGGTACTAAAAGGACACTGGCACGGGCTCGGGAAAGATTTTATTGGGTCAATTGCCGACGGGATGTAGAATATTGATGTAAAAAATGTGATTTATGCAATGCCAGAAAAGGGCCCAAGACAAGAAGCCGAGGTAAAATGGCATGATACCTTTCCGAAGAGCCTTTCGAACGAATCGCCATAGATATCCTCTGACTACTTTCCTTAACAGAGAGTAAAAACAAAAAAGCGGATGGAATTATTAAACGGTTTGCTAATATTAAAAATGCTTAGATACGCCACTGGTATATGGTAAATGGGTCTCAATGGAAATTTTAAAGATAACAAAAATTTTATAAGGATCATACATTCCTATATTTTTTTTCATAAACGAATCAATAGTAACATGTTTAGAACAAATATTATCATACAATATGGCGGCCATTTTGAAAGCTGTCAGAAAATTTTCAATATACGATTATTATACAAAAATGTCCCAGAAATCCAAATTTACAATAAAAAAAGTGGGTTTCAATTTAAAAATAAAAAATAAAATACGATTTTCTGATATTTCCGGAAAAACCGGAAGTAAGCCATGACGTCACAGAATAATTGAATCCATTGCAAGAAAGTACTTGTTCTAGTCTTTCAAACAAGAAAAAATTATTTCGATATCTCAATGAATAATGAAGATAAGGGGGGGTGGAACTTTTAAATGGCCCACCCTGTATAGAATATGTTTTGTTCTATCTTGTTTTTTTTTAATAAAAAAATATCTAATAAGGTAGCTGCAATAGGTAATCACTATACATAGAAAATGATTACAAGAGAAAAAAAGTATAGAGATTAAAAAGAAAAAACATTAGTTAATTTTCCGGTTAATATATATCTGTCCTTTATATTTAAATATAATTGTTTGACTGCATTTATGGTTAGTAGATAACCATCGAAGGAATCAGGTCTTGTTAACTTGCCAATACTAGTCTGTTTATACAAATTTGTTAATAGTTACTACATCGGTAACAATAAAAAAAGCCCAAGCATTTTCTATCGTCCGGTTTTGCTACTTCCGGTGTAGTGATTTTGGCCACGTGACCGGATATTTATGTTTTTCCTCAAAATTCTGGAGTTAACTTCAATGAATTTTTTTCTGAATCTAAGATTACATTGCAAGCATTTTGTGCCGGCGAAAGGGTTGAACCAAAAAAAATGCAATTGTTTTTTGAAATATGTGTAAAATCGGAACCAAAATTCAAAAAGTGGTTTAATTGCTCCCAAAATATTTGTATGACGCTTAAATAAAAGTATTGCTCTTACAATTATTTTTTATTCAATATTTCCACCTATTCAGCCTTTTGTTATCCCGGATTTTTGAAAAAAATGTCAAAATACTAATAATTTATGGAGAATCTACTGAATATGAAGAACCTGCTGAAAAAGAAAAATGCTTGCAAGGGCAGTGCTCTTATTTAAGAGTCATACAAACATTTTGAGAGGGATTAACCCATTTTTCGAATTTTGATTTCGATTTTACACCTATGGACCTTTCCCTTCTATTACTTATGCGCAAATTCTACTTCCGCTAAAAATGTATTGCTGTTATGTTTCTTGCCCTGAGTTCCACTAACACATCCGCAAATATTTTGTTTTTTCATTGGATAATATTAGTAACACTTTTAGATGTGTGTTATTTGCGAAAGGTAAAAAGAATTACAAATATTTCATTCATTATTACTTTGTAGAACGTGGAAATATTTTGCTGTGCAGCGATGTAGCTCTCGACGATGACATTTTAACAAAGCTTGTGTAGAAAATAGAAAGTTATTGCAAGTTCACTTAAGGTCAGTCACTATTAGTGCCGCTCTTATTTTGACATCTAAGCATGCGCAGATGTTTATGTTCTAAAACAGACTTTATTAAGGGTTGTGTCTGTTCTTTAAGGGCAGCAGGTAGTGGCGACTTTATAGTTTTCGATTGCTCTCGCCGACATTCGTATCCGTTAGAAGTTTTTTAATATTAAATATTTAATATAATCGTCATTTAAACCTTCTAAAATTATAATTTCTATGTCTCTTTAATATTATAGACAACAAAAAAGATTAACTATAATTTAAAGTTTGGTGGCTGGCTTTATAGAAATTTGCAATATCTCTCTATTAAGGACAGGCACAATCTTTATTAAAGTTAGTGATCTGCGCATGCTCAGATGTCAAAATAAGAGCGGCACTAATAGTGACTGACCTTAAGTGAACTTGCAATAACTCTCCAATAACTCTCTATTAAGGTTAATCCATCACTGGTTTATTTCACCTAACATCTCCCTTAAAACTAATTACATATACAATCATTTCATTACATATCAAAGCGTCTGGGAGGACGTTTGTTTCTACCTGATACAGTTTGGTATTGAGATATTTCAATAGGTTGATGATTAACAATATGTTGATCAGGAATTTGAATATTGAGCCTCCCGATATCATTGTATTCCTGGGGTATTAACTGTTGTTTAAACTAGGGTTTGTAAATTTCGAGCATTAGTTCTGGCTATAGACTGATATCACTTTGATTTGTTTTAGTTACTGACAATCGCATTTGATGTGTATTTCTACGTTCAATGTTATTCTATGAATGATTTTTTTTACCCAGTATGATCTTGGTTCTTTTGCTTTTTCTAATATTACAGGTTTTTCCCACGTTTTATCTTTTATTGTTTTTACCACTACCTCATCCCCTTACAATAAATTTCACATTTTTTCCGAGCTTCTTGATCATAACTCTTTTTTTGTTTTTTAATGTTATCAAAAATTGTTTTTTGTACCTTTGATTTTAGTTTTCTGTGTCATTGGCAAACATGTTCTTAATTTCCTACTTTGAAGTAATTGGGCGGGCGACGCGTTTAAGTTCGTTACTGGTGTGTTATATTCTAACACAGGTTCTCGAAAATCACTATTGTCGTCACTACAAAGCTAATCCATTGCTTTGATGGTAGTGAAAATAGTTATATCTTTACTTTGATAGTAATTTTTACATTTATTCATTCATACAAGGAAGAATACCTGCAATAATAGTTTGAGGATAACCAAAATATTCGCTTGAATCGTATTCCAAAATGTCCATCCCTACCGTTTCGATTGATAACAGGTATGTCACTTAACGGAAATGGTTTTTTATAATTATTTTTCTGGTATTTTTCACATACACTACATTTATTAAGAAATTTCGTTATATCTATGGACATTTTGGGCTAAAAACATAATTTCCTAGCTTTATTTATTGTTTTACTCAATCCTAGATGACTTTTATGTAAGATATTAATCACAAATTGACGTAGCGTTTCTGGTACTATGCTCTTATGCTCTAAAAAGATGATACCAGATTTTATGTATATATCATTTTGTAGTTTATAATATGGTTTATATTTTTCTGAAATTTTGTGTTCTTTAGGTCATTTGTTATAGTAATATTTAGGGATCTCAGATAGTACAATATCTTTGGCTGTTTCAGTTCTAAACTCTTGCCTACGTTCATCACTCATGAGTAAGTGTCTAGAAACTGAATGCACCATTTCCAACATTTCAGGGTTACGAGTTGTATATTTTAGACTTGATCGTGAAAGCATATCTGCAAATAGTATCTTACTTGCTGGTACATATACAATACATTTTATAGTTCTAATCCGAAACAACCAAAAGTTTTTCTATGGACGTTAAAATAATCAGATTCAAGAAAGATATAACGATATAACTGAGACTAACATTTTTAATTGCAATTTTCTCAAAAAACTATGACTTTTGAGTTATTACAGTATAGTATCGATATGTAAACAAGTAGAGGTGGATGCGTCAAGTACGTTATTATAGACGAGTGTATGAGAGATACGAATAAATTTCACTGTAATTGATAAAACAGTTACCATATCTGTACCTATAGTAAAAAATCTAAATTCTGCTGTTTTAGGAGGATAACAGTTCTTCCAGGAAACTTGTACAATTAATACAAGCTTTAGAAGAAGTACAAACATTCCACCAGCTAGACAATAACATGCAAGTCATTCAATTTTTAGCAGAAACTAGAAAATATTTGGATCAGATGATAAGAACTATGAATATTAAAGAAGATATTCTTATTAATTTACAAATTATTGGTGATATAAGTTATGCATGGGAGTTGATCGATTATTATACAAATATCATGCAATTAGGTAAGTTTTTTTTTATTTGAATGCTACGGTCTACGTTCATTAAAATTTCTAAATCTGATAAACTTTCGACATAATTGAATTTGAATGTAAAATGTCTGAATGGTATAAACTTTAAATTACTCACGACCTAAATACCTCTCAAAGTTTATCAAATCTTCAACAATTTCTGTATTCCACGTTATTAAATTGATCTGGTCAGTAACTTTAATAACCTCAGTAGTTAACTCTAATATTTGACAGAACCACAGTTTATAGCTAAAGAATCAGTTCGCTCACTCTGCGTCGGCACTTTTGATCTCAATGTTCCAGTTTATACACTGCGCAACTCGGATTTGTATCCCTGGCGCATACAGAATCAATTCATAACCAATACAATATATGAACCGCCTATATTCAAACAGCAGTTTTCTGCGCATCCTGAATTTGTATCCCTGGTGTGGATGGTATTTTGGAACATTCAACTGGTCCAAGTGAGCTAACTGATTCTTTAGCAATAAACTGTGACAGAACTGACACTTAAGTTGTTCTAAGAACGGCCATTTTTGTTAAATATCTTGTTTTACCAGATCACGTGGTAAAGGGGTATTGTTGAAGATTTTATAAATACATGCAAAATATTTTAGGGGTGGTTATCGAAGTTATTTTTTTAAATATCAAGTGGCGCACCTTTTTTTATTAAAAATTTTTGTGTAATTTTCAAACGAACGCCACTGATGCAAGTAGACACATTCGGAAAACTCCCAAAAAATGCACATTTATCTCGCCAAAGCGTTTTGCGAGTCAATATTTTTAAAATAATTAATAAAAATTGAAAAATAAAATTTAAACCTCTGTATCTCGGAAAAGAAGCATATTTCGACCTACGTTTATATGAACTTTTTTTAACACCCTCTAAAATCTTTCGCATTTATTTACCAGGTGTCCTACAATTTTTTAGACAGGACAGTACCCGAGAATACATTAACAAATCTGGGGTAGAGTCCTCATTGTTGGGCATCAAAAAAATAGGGGGAGTATCAAAGTTTGTGTTATGCATAAAAGTTTGAATCCTGTTTTAATTTGCCTGGAGAGCGGTGGTTGTCACCGATTAGCACAACATATTTGAATCTTCCTGCCATTCTGAATATAGAATCGTTGGTTGAAGCATGTGGGTGGCTGTCATAGCCCTCAGAAGGTCTAGATACCGCATCGTAAAAACATTTTGACCCCCATATGATGGGCGCCATGATAAATAAATGTCAATAAATTTTAAGTTGGCACTACTGGCAAGACAGAATCGGCGCAAGTTTAGTAATAAGCGTAAGATCGGCGTTCGACGTATATAATCGATTTTATTATCTGTTGTGTTGTTTATTTTTTTCTTCTAGTAAAGGTTTTATTTAAAACATTATTTTTTAGTTTAGTCGTTTAGTGTTTTATTTTAATAAAAAACATTTGTGGTTTGTTGTTAAATTTTTACAGGATTTTCAAAATCTCTTTTTGTTTTGTACGTGAATGCAACAATGCATCTAACGGTAGAAGATACAAGGAAGGAATAACATTTCATGTGTAAGTTTTCACAAATATTTGTGTATTTACAAAATCAAATAATTTGTATGTTTTGTTGTAGCATACCAAAAAATGTTAGGAAAGAATAACTGATAGCCATAGGAAGACCATTGAATCATTTTGTGACTTTAGTATAAGCCCGGAAAATTTGGGGATACTAGCTGAAACGGCAAATGTGTTATTGGCTCCTTGTTAGTGACCTATTGTACAATTTTTCCAACACAAGTTCCATGATCCTTTGAACTTGACTGCACCGTACTGATGAAGACCAATAGTCAGAAAAACGTGTCGACCGTTACTTCTTTTTTACTTTTTTTTATTCGGAAAATGTCCACTATTACTACCTTGATACAATAATATTAGTTCCGTTCTAAGTAGGTACATATTATAGTTTGTATGTTTTATGCTTTATTTTATTATATGTAATAAATGATAGGAAATATACTTTTATAGTAAATAAATTGATTAAAGCAATTTTTCATATCCATTGTTTATTAATTTGTTTCATTTAATTCTTTCTTATTGAGTTAGTTATTTCATATAAATATGCGATACTTGTAAAATGTAATATTTTCTTTTAAATAGGTATATATTATGTTCGTATAAAATATTGTTCAGTTAATAAAAACAGAAATATTTTGTCTTTTATTCAAAAGAAGATTGTAAATTTTTCAAAATATATTTACCTACCCCAAAAAAAGATTAATAAAACCAGTTAGTCATATACACATTTTCTATATATTTATAGAGGTACTTTTTAAGTAACTTTCAATACATTCGAAATCTGTGGTTTTATTAAACTCAATGTAACAAATAATAATAGGTATTCTCAAAAATATTTAAAAATAAAATCGAGATGGGACTCTTGTATAATTTAGTGACTATTCGCCTATGGTTAGTGCACTGCTGTATGTCCCTGGGTTTTCTACATTAGAACAATACTGCTTCTCCACTCTAGCAGTATTTTTTGCATCTCAGATTATATTTATTAAAAAACCAAGGAATTGTTTTGGGCCTATTGCTGTGCCCTTTTCCAACATTCCCAAAGTTTTTTTTTTTTACTTTCTGCTGATTGGATCTCCGATAGCGACAACTCCATTTCTTGTTCCACTAGTTTTTTTATCAAATTTTTAAAATAACTTCTATATATTTTTTGCAATGACTTCGCTTACCTGCTTCATAATCTCTTCCCTATGCCCCAATTTCTCTAACAGGTGAGATCTTATACTCGCTCTATTAAATCAAATTATCATTATAGTTTATTTGAAAATGCTTGGTAGCACAGTTTTTATGGCAAAGGTCCATATTTTTATATAATTTTGCTATTATTCATTTTCAAATAAACTATAGGAATAGGAGTAATCTATTAGTTTTTCTAAAAATACCTTGTTACCGATGTAAGTATATCTTTCCCTAGTTAAAAAATTCGAGTTTTTATTTTCATAATATAATATAAATAAATGACCGGTTAACAATCACATTCTTTTAAATAGTACATTTGGCATTGAAGTAGGTATTTTCTCCATATTTCCAAACAGAAACAGATGGTTTACTTGTAATTTGAATTATATTACATAAATCTTACTGAATTTCTCTATAATTCTCATAGCGATATGTACACAAACTACTTATCCAATAATATATAACCGTGTAAAAATAACATTTCAAGAACGAGAAATTTTATAAAACCGGTCCTGTCTGAACAGATCTAGGAAAATCAAATAGGTTTGTCAAAGTTTTGTTCTTAATTTGAAATTAGAAATTGTGCGTCTCACTCACTTATAACTAATAACAAAGTGCAGATTATCGGTGTTCACGTATTACAGAACACACAAACTAAAAATCAGTGTAGCCAAAACATAAATTTACCTAACATAGCGACAAGCTTGAATGGGGTAATTTTTTTGTATTGACAGTATACGCCAAGCGGTATCTAGACTTTCTGAGGGCTATGGTGGCTGTATATCAAAATAATGTGAAGTTCATCATCATTGAAAGGGATACTAACGTGTAGAGCATCATTTCGGGGATCACTTATGCGGGGCGGGTTTTGTTTTCGCATTTTTAGCTTTGGATTTATTTGTATAAGTGATCCTCTTCTTATATTTTGGTTTAGAATATTTCCGTCGTGTCTTACTACCTCCCAATTTCTATGGTTGGTGTTGGCTTCCGCACTACAAATAGCGCACAGTTTATTAACTTCCTTTCTATCGTATAGTTCACTAAATATTTCTTTTGAAAGTAACTGTTTATATTAGTGTATAATATTTTAATTTCGTTCTTGAATGTGAGCTACTTGCAATCCTAGTATAGTTTCAGTGGGAGATTCGAAGTTGTCTAGTTCCATGTCAAACATCCAGATGTAAATCCAGTTGTTTTCCACAAACGTTACAGTGGTATCTATTCTGTATTCCGCCATTAATATTTTTCGTAGTCTTTCTATTAACTCCTCTCTGTTGATGTTTTTGGGTTTGTTCAGCTTTTGTACATAAGAATTTATTATTATGTCATGTATTGTAATTGGGGAGTGGATTCTGTTCATTTTCATATTGTCCTTAATTTGGTCAGATTTTTTATTTAATGTTTTTACTGGTAAGTTGGGAATTCCTGTTATTGGTTTTGTTGGTCTTTTAGGATATTTAAATGACCAAGCTTGATGATGATCTTCTGAGCCACATCCACTGCATTTTGGGGAAAGCGTGGTTGGACACTTGTTCGTGGAATGTGCTTCAGAACTTTTGTTGCATTTTGTTGTTTCTGTGCAGTTTTCTGTTGAGTGGGAAAACTTCAAACACTTATTGCAAAGCATTGGGACAGGGGACGGCGGAGAGCTCGTATAGATGGCATAATGACGGGATTTGTAATGTAATCCTTCAGAGATAAGTTTTTCGTAAATTTTAGATTTTTTTTGATAATTCTTATGAAGTTTATTGGAGATGATTCTTTTACAGTAGTGGAATTCCCCTCCAGATGAGACCATTTTTTGTGAGATTTCTTCGTCCGATATTTCGTTTTCGACAGAGGCAATAACACAAGAGTAGACTTGAGTCGCTGGAATTTTGTTATCTCTTGATGCTTGGTTGTAGGGCATTGTTGCGCTATATTCCATAATTTTATTGTTATTTTTTAAGATCTTTAGTGCATTTTCTAATATCGTTTTAGCAGTATCACTTTTTAGCAGATAGCCCTTTTTTGTTTTTAATATTATATCACTATTATTTGGTCTTGGTTCTTCCCACAAATCAGCCATTTGGATTCTATTAATAATGGTATTATTGATGTTAATATAGAACATATTATTAAATTGTTTTTGTTGGAACTCTTTCATGTGTGGTGAGAAATTTATGGATCTCTGTATTTTTATTTGATGGAATATTATTATTTTGGTTTTGGATTTGCTTTGCGTTTTTTTATAAGAAACTACGGAATATCCTTCGTTATCTTTAACTGGTTTTTTGGAGGTGTCGCTCCTCCGTTTTTATCTATTAGCCTTTTTTTTGGAGATTCCGATAAATTCTTCTAGCGATTCTTCATTCAATGACTGTAAATTCGTTAGCAAATCGTTATATTTTCTTTTCGTTGACGTGGAAATATCTTGATCTACATCCATAAATCCGGAGAATTTTTCTCCATCACTTGAACTAGACATGTTTTTTTTTTATTTTATGGACTTTGGTATTAAACAGTAAACTTATCGCTGCTATTTGCTCGCACAGAAACCGGTGTTGCTTGTTTGAAGGCAACAAGCGAACTAGAATATTATTATTATATCTATATAAATCTTTTACATGAAATAATAGTCCTCGTAATTTACATTTTTCTAAATTCTCTAAACTATAACTATCGACATTACTAGAAAATCATTTATTTCACACATTTTAGATTCATTTATTCCAATTATCTCCCACAAATCACATATTTTCCTATATTTCAAACCATTTTATCTTTTCCATTTCATGATCTTCGTTTTTCTACTTTTCTTTCACTTTTGTCCTCTCTCCTTTTCTATCAACCTCCGATTTTTTAATATTTTCCCCTATTTTCTCTTATCTAATCAACCTTTCCTTTTATACTTATTTGACAACTGTTTTAGTTTTACTCTACTATTACTTTTCTTATTTATCTTATCTTAATTTTCTTTTCATCACCCTGTATCTATTTTAATCTGAATCTAGTTCTACTTTAATTTTTTGTCATACTGTTATATTATTTCTTTTTCCTTACATTTTATTTTCTAATTCATTTGCCTTTCAATTTTCAATACTTTGTTTAAAACTAATTTAATACTTTTACTTTTCCTACAATCTGAATCTGTATATTTTTGTTACTTTCTTTTTCTTCAATTTCTAATTTTCTATTCTTCTATATTTATTTATTTAATGTCTATGTTAATTTCAACTTCCTTTGCTTCTATATTTTTTCTTCTTTATTTAATTCTAAATTTTCTTCTATTTTTCTATTTACCTTACATGTTTCTAATTTGCATCTTTCTTTTTTCATTCTCTTTATTTCTTCACTATATTTCGTCTACCTTCTATATTATTTATCCTTTATAATATTATTGTTTCCTATTTTCCTTCATCTTCTTATTGTTCTCTTGAATCTGGCATCCATATATTTCTTTATAATAAAAATTAGTGCCTTTCTTTCTTTCTCTTTCTTTCTCAAAATATAACAACATAAATGTCTATGACACGTCTTTAAATCAATATTTATTTTTATATTTAAGGTATTAGAAAAGAACCCACTTTAGTCATTAAACTACGGGCTGTATTCTTGAAACTTTCATCTGCTCTGGAAATACCCTTACTTCGTATCAACCAAGCTCATAGTGAAGATTTGATCTCGGTGTCACAGTACTACAGCAAAGAATTGGAGATTTATGTTAGAAAAGTGTTACACATAATACCTAGTATGATGTTTGAAAAACTGGCAAGGATAATAGAGATGCAAACTACCGTGTTAAAGGAACTGCCAACTAGAGTCGATAAAGACAAAATTAAGGACTACATTCAGCTAGAGGAAAGATTTGAATTTGCAGAGTTAACTAATTCGATCTCAGTTTTTAGTCAAGGTAAGTAATAGTACCTAGTTAAGTAAATAAATGGTTTTAGCCAGTGGCGCATCCAGAATTTAAGTCTGGGGGTACTGGTAATAAAGTTTAAGTTTGGGAGAGGTAGTAATAATATTTAAGATATTGTTTTTGATAATTTTAGGTATGAGAATGATGAAAAGTACACTAGTGGGCGTGGTGTGCTTAGATCCCAAGCAATTATTAGAAGATGGCATAAGAAAAGAACTAGTCCAACATATTTCTAAAGCTTTACATGCTAGTTTAATGTTTAGTGTAAAGCCAAAACAAGATGAGCTTGGGCAGAAACTTAAATTATTAGTACAAATAATGGATGGTTATAAAAGATCATTTGAATATATACAGGTAAAAAATGATGAAATATTCATTTATAGTATTTTTTTTTTTTTAATAATTAGAATGAAACAATATAATGTATAATTTTAAGGATTACATAAACGTTAATGGTTTGAAAATTTGGCAAGAAGAGGTAACTCGAATAATTAATTATAACGTTGAACAAGAATGTAATGGTTTTCTTCGTTACAAAATACATCCATGGCAAAGTGTCTACCAAAGTCGTTATGTACCAATACCAATCTATCCTTCAATAGATCAGAGTGTTAATTTTGTAGGTAGATTGGCTAGAGAGGTTATAAGACTCACCGACCCAAGGTATTTTTATATTCTATTTTACCTAACTATATATTTATTTATATGCGAAGTAGTGTCAAAAGAAAAGTATAAATGTCCAAAAAATTGCCTCACAAGTTGACAAACACTTTTTATCTTTTAATTTCACACAGTTTTGTAATAGCTGTATTGTTCTACATAATCTTATGAATCCATATTTTTATATGTACGAAAATATATAAAAAAAAATTGTTTATTCTCGCCAAAACTGACTAGCTCTACTAACTCGAGTTTGACATATGAAGTAAATGTGTAATGCAAAGGTGCGGATACTCTTACAGCCGAATGCATAGTCGATCGCCAGCGATTCACCAGCGGATCGCTGCTGATACCGCCGAGATGAATCTCTGGCGAATCGGTGGCGCGATTTGCTGGAGATTGTCACCGGCATGTCATCTCTCGCAAGTTTCCATGTTATTTTATAGGAAAAATTAGTTTTCATGTTCTTTTATGGGAAAAAATTTGATATTCGTTCATTGTTTTTTGAGTTTTAAGAAATGAATCATGATTAACATGCGAGAGATGACGGTGATAATCTCCAGCAAGTCGCCACCTTTTTGGGCTTTCGCCGGCATATCACCAGCGATCCGCTGGCGATCGACTGTGCATACGGGTGTTAGTATCGTCATAGCATCTCCTTTTTATTCTATCTCAATAAGATGTTTTGACTCTCAGGCGACGCTCACTTAGGCCGCCATAAAAAAATGAGAAAATAAAAAAATTCCGAAGAGAATTTGCACAAGTGTCAAGAAGTTGCTGAATATCGGAGTAAACAGCAGCCTTCAAGAAATTAGATCTATTCCGAAACAGATAGGGATATTGTGATGCGAAAGCCATTTCTTTTCCTTGTTTACTTCTTGCTAGCGGTATGTAGTCTAGCACTTGCCATATAGAGACAAACGCACCGCTTTGAGAAACTGCCAGAGTGATCCCTTTGCGGAGTATGATTCATAGAGAGGCAGTTCTCGATTGTTGTGGAAAGCCGAGAATATTCTATTACAGAACTGGCTTTATACAGGGTGTATCTAAATAACACCGAATAAATTAAAGGGGTGATTTTGTGATGAAAATTAATGTGTTTGGTATACAATTTTTTGAAAAAACCCTCCCCGGAAAAGTTACACCCCTTCGAAAATTAAAAAAATAATGGTTTTTCTTTTTTATTTTCCCTGTATATCAAGCTAAAGACACGAAACTTGGTAAACATTATCTGTCAATAAAAGTACACTTCTTGAAATTTTTTCAACCCTGAAGTATGCTTAGAAGGGGGTGGAAATAATCAACCCCTAAGATATTTTTTTTACAACTTTTTTTTAGATGAAAATTTTTTCTTTAAAAAAGTATGACTGAAAAGCCCAATTCATTGACTAACTTTTTTATTCCTACAAGTTTTTTTTCGAAAACTGAAGCATTTATGAGAAAAAAATAAATAAGCTCATGTAAAATAGCATTTTATTAAACAACAGCCAACCAAATTATGATTCTTAAGACTTCTATAACTAAAAACAAAAGTGAACAAACAATGAACAAAAACCTGTCGAATATCGACAATACAATTATAATAAATGTTGAAAATGACCGCCTTCAGCTTCAATACAAGCATCTACCCTTTTCCTCATAGAATTGCATATACGATGAAATATTCCTGGAGAATTTCTTATAGTTTCACACCCTGCTACAATGCGGTTTCGCAGATCATCGATATTTTCAACTGGGTTTGTGTATATCAAAGATTTCAGATATCCCCATATGCAAAAATCCAAAGGATTAAGGTGAGGGGAGCGGGCTGGCCAGTTTACAGGTCCTCCTCGACCTATCCATTGATTGACATACACCTCATCCAGGCGAGTTCTTGCACGTATACTAAAATGAGCTGGTGCACCATCGTGCATAAACCATAAATGTTGCCTAATTTGAATGGGAACCTCTTCAAGAAGAACAGGTAATTATTCAAGGAGATGACAATATGCTTCACCATTTAATCGTAGCGGAAGAAAATGGGGACCAATTAAATGATTATCAATAATTCCGAGCCACACGTTTAATGAAAATTGATACTGATGATTTCCTTCAAAAAAGCCATGAGGATTTTCGTCAGCCCAAAAGTGATTGTTGTGAAAATTTCTAATACAGTCTCTTGAGAAACTCGCCTCGTCAGTAAATAAAATATTACCTAAGAACTATGGTGCTTGGCCAATCATATTAATAAGCCACTGACAAAAAATCACACGGGGTAAAAAATCTCGAATCATTAACGCCTGCACCCGTTGAAGATGATAGGGATACAACATTTGTTCTTTTAAAATTCTAAAAACAACGGAATGACTTACATGTAGGACACGAGCTATTCTCCTGGTACTAGTTTCTGGAAATTCTTCAATTGAATTAAGTACGGCTTCTTCTACAGCTGCAGTTCTAACTTCTCTAGTACGACCAGAATCATAACTTCTTTTTTCAAAATTACCACGTTCCCGCAAGCGTCGGTGAATAGTTGTGAACGTAGTATGATGGGGTAGTCTACGCTGTGGGTACTGTTCAGCATAAAGTCTTTGCGCTTCCAATGAATTACCGTTAGCACGACCGTATGTGAAATGCATATCTGCCATTTCCAAATTCGAATATGCTTTCATATTTTCAATCAACTTATATTTCCTACAATACACAATCATAAAACTTGTGAAACAATAAGATGGGTAACAGAAAATGACACTACATAATCCTGGTATCAGTATTAAGGGCGTGCATTGGAACAGAGAAGTCTGAACAAGTCCTCCCAGAGAGGGACAAAATAAAGTTATCCGAGAGGTGCTGCCTCTAGTTAGCAACTAAGTAACAAATATACGTTCTGCATTTTCGCATTTGCGAATAAAAATGTATTCTTTTAAACTCGCAGGTACGGCCTTTTGTATGGTATAGATTGAAATTTTTTTGACTTTGCCTCCCACTTCGGTGTCACAAGCTGAATTTTTCAGGAATGAAAGTACATGATAAGCTTACCCTTATTCCGGAGGTAATACAAAATTAGACAGTGCAAAAGGGCACTATCATAAAAAATCGAGTTATTGATACCACCATATAGAAAAAAAATGCTTATTTTTTGTTGTAATGCACAATAAGGTCTTTGTAGGAAGTATTTTTTTATAATTATTTAAAAAAAATCATTTGCATTAGCCCTTATGGTCGAAAAAAAAATTAAACGTCAATATCTCGGTTTCAACCGTCCACAAATTTGTATAAAAAATCTTTTTTTAGAAATATACCTCTCATTTGACGAAAAACGAAGGCCTAAATGAGAAAAAACTATTCCTCATAAAAGTTTCGCCAATGTATTAACAAGGTAACAGTGCTTTCCCCATATTTTTTGCTTTTATAATAACAAAAATATAGCAATAAACAATTAGTTATGTCATGGTTTAACTAGAAAGCAAACATTGAAGGTAAAGTCTCTCACTCTCTATTCTTCTCTCTCAGTGCTAAAATGTATGCAATCAGTTTGACTCTCTCATATTATTTTATACACGGATTATTGATTTATACGCTATGATTTATTTTTTATTTTTTGAGGAAAATAAAAAATAAGAAAATATGAACTATTTATTGAAGATATAAACACAGTATATATAAGTATCGATTATAAACAGTAGGTAAGGCTATTGCTTTGCAAAATACAATAAATTCCCAATGTAAAAAACATTATAATAAGAATAATTAAAAGTATATAAAGCATAAATTAATAATATTATAATTTATAGTACAAGACTTTTAAACTAATCAGAATAAGATTCACCACACGAATCAACATTTTCCAAAACATTAGCGACTGTGGTCAAACTTTTTCTGCAATTTTTCTGTGCCATACAGGTAGGTGCAGGAACCGATACAGCCAATATTTTTTTCCTGCATTTGCAAATTTTGCTTTCTTAGTCTAGAACAGAATAATATTGTTAGAATATTGTACATCTATGAAAATTATCGGTGTATAGTATCTTTTTTGCATTTGCATGATGTAAGTTCTGTTATGTCTGGTGGCAGGTCGGACAGAGTCTTAGAGTGGGTATCAGACTTCCATCTTGATCTACTTTTTATTCATACTCTTTAACATTAGGAAGCTGCACCTGCGGCTTTAAAGAGCTTAGCCAAATATTTAGCTGGTGAAAACATATTAAACAATGTAATCTTAGGTCGTCTTAAGTCGGTGGCAATTTAGCAATGGTTTTTAAAGAGGCCATTAATCCCCTCAAAATGTTAATGGAAGTAACATTGGCAATTTTTGAATACATTTTTATGAAACATTTTTCAAGATTAGAGAATGTTTTCTTTTCCCAATGCCAGACTATTGGCTGGTTGTATCATAACCGGTCAGAGAATGAAAATCAGGCAAAATTTCTAGAAGGTATCATCTAAATTTAAATCATGTACTGCTAGAAATCGTCTTGAGTCTCTTCGCCCTGTTCTGAACCATATCTCTTTAGTCAAATGCTTCTTAAAATACATTTTTAAGACTAGAACATCTGTATCGTTCCAATTAATAATGCAGCGTGAATGCCCCGAATTTTTGGCTGACAATATGTGCAATAAGATACGAGTATCAGCTTCTTCGTGATTTGAATTTAAGAAATCGTCTTTTGATGGTTCAAAATTCGTCCCATATTGATATTCGCGAACCCACCACTAGTTACAAATTAAATATGCTTTTGCTGAATGGAATTTTGAAGAAGTTGCTCTGACAGAAAATTTGTTAAACGTCTTTTGTTAAATATCGAATGAATAAACAAGTTCTATTGTTGCGGAAGTGGAGTATTGGGTCGGTCAATTTCTACATTAATTGATTTCTGGAATCCTTTCTTTTGACTAGTTTTTGATAGAATGTTCTTTATAATGATCATATACCACATCTATCCTTTAAGCATTAAATTTATTTCTAAAAATATCTGCTTGTTTTCACATCGTCAATCAATTTTAATAGACTTCATTTATTTGCT